TAAATAGATTTTTCTAAGAAGGTTCATCTATGTGATGTTTCCTTGGCAATAGTAATAGCAGGTATACTTTTGTATAAAATAAACATTCTAAATAGAATTAAGCCTAGAAAATTTCTTTTTGACCTTGTATCCTAATGGTTCCGCTGTGGGCATTCAAAGCTGTGAGGTCAGATGAAATCTTTCTATGGAACTGTGCATGCACTTCTTCTTTTGGAAAAAATAATCTGCACTTTTTTTCTAAAGTAGATCAGTTACTTCCCTGTTTATTACTTGAATGAAAGTTTCAACTCTGTTTGAAAGAACAATATTTTTAAAATGGCAAGAAAATTTCTAACAGCTGTAGAGGCTCTTGAATATGTGAAATCTCTTTTTGTTCAAGAAATCAATGAGCCTGAAGTGGTTATTATTCTTCCTGAAATTCAGTTAGTGATGAAGACAGATAGGTAATTCTGCCACAAACTGCAACATATCAGAACCATGTGGCGAATCTGAAATAGAAGATACTGCAGGGACTATAGACATTTAATAAAAAAAACTGTGAACCTAATTTTTATGTAAAAGTGGAAAAAAGTCCCTAAAAGGAAAAGTATGAACCCCAATTCATGCTTTCACCAAGCTGTATTTCTTTTCAAGACATTCTAAATATGGTGTCAGGAAAAACTCCAGTTTAACGTTTTTACCTGATGGCTGAAGACATGATATCACATACAGCTGTAGAGACTAACCAGTATGCAAAACAAGCAAATTATTATTCTTTTAGTAACCACTGAAAGTAAAACATCCTGAGGGATGTCAGAGACGATGTTAGTTAAAAACATGCTATAGAAAATCTACAACTATTTGAAAATTCTGCAATACTATTAGACTTTGTATTGACTGTTTTCCCAATTTTCATTGCTAACTGCAAATTTTAAGTAAAATTTCTGTAAAATTTAGTAGTGTATTGGACCATTGTCCTATTAATAGGACAGCCTGTAACTTAATAAAATTCAAATAATATCTGAAAAGTTTTGTTTTATATGTGTTATTACCTCATATTATTGATATCTCTAAAGTGTTACATTTTTCCGGAGAAAATTTGTGAGAGTGATCCAATATGGGTTAATGGTTGAATTTAGTGTCTTAGCATCGGACAAAAAATTTATATTTCTCAGTAATTTATTTACTTAATGAATAGTTTTCAGAGTGTGAAATGTGTATGAGAAAATGCTAAGCCAGCTGCATCTTTCCAGTTGTAAATTCATTATTTTAAAATGATGTATTGCAGAGAAATATCTTAATTCTCGTATCATTGTAAGAAAAATACTTTTTTTATAATACATGCACATACAATTATTTTCATGGATGACCACTATGCAAATGTATACAAGGGTGACTAATGAAAATTATGTTCCTGCAAGTATTAACAATATCTTTCTCCATAATGAATTTTATAACTATGACCAAACTAAGACTGTCTTCTGCCCTAATCTTCACAGGGGTTCTCAGCCATCATTTTTATGACATAAAAACAGGGTGAGTTGGAAATAGGGCTACGTGTTTGAAGCAATGTTACTGTATATTGTACAGGAAAATAGTGATGAGTATGTTAAATTGGAAACTTTGTTTTTTCATTTCAAATGAGTTTTATAACCTAGTTTATATCATATTTTATATATATAAGCCAAAACTGATATTCAACTATGCTATAGTATGAGCATTTGCAGTTGCTACTGATCATTGCCTAGAACAAAGTTTCTTAAACTGTGGGTCGCGACCCCCATGGGACCTGCAGCAAGGGGTTGCTAAAATTTTAGCAGTTTTAATATTTCTTTAACTGTTTATGATAATTTTACAATTACCAAATATTTTTACACAATGTATTTGAAAATAAAGATAAGACAATACAGACAAAGAAAAAAATGAAAATGTTTTGATGCATTCTTTTTATAATATAAACGTTCATTTTACTTGTTTTGCACGTGACGCAATCATTTCGTCTGTTACTGATTTAAAATTTTCACATTTTTCTATATCTTAAAATTAGAAATTAAAGTTAATGACCTAAAACTGCAATAGTATATTACAATACAAGTGAAAAAAATTGAGTTACACTCACATGTGTGTCGGATTTGCGCAATGCTCATGGGGTCCCACAAAATTTTGGTAAATATTATGGGGTCGCGAATGAAAAAAGGTTTATGTCCTAGCCTAGAATGATGATGAGGGCATGAGACTGAAGAGAGATGTTTTGTTGTATCAACTGTAGTGTTGATAGAACAAACTGGATAGTGAAGAAAACAACTGCTTATAAATGGAAATATCTAGAGCCCTGATGTAGCCCATAAATAAGGATTGCCAGCATTGGAAATAGCAAGAAGTTTTAAGCAATAAAATGAACCTAGCATATTAAATTTAGTGGTGAGGTTAGATTGAAGATCTTACTTTCTAATGGCACTACCTCATTTTTCCTAGCCATAATACTGTCATCGTACAATGCAACATGTAGCTGTATTTCACACTCATCTTGCAGAATGATATTGATGACTCTAAAAAATCTGAGACCCTGTGAGCATAGACTGAACTTAGATTCTGCAATCCAAGTGCAAAGCCAGCTCTCTGTTTCTATAACTTTTTTAATGTTGTATGTTAATAACATGATGACAGTATTTGAAATAATAGTAGTATTTTTTACTTTTATTATTATTTCAACTATTAATTCAGTAACTATGTTAGTAATTTTTAATCATTAATTTATTTGTATCTTGCATTTTTAATGTATTTTATGTAGTTTGAATCTTTGGTCTTATCAATAAGGATCACAATTTTGACTGCAGAAGCATCTGAGTCTACTCATACATAATGTAAACATACAAAACAAAGGGGGCGAGAAAGGAAATATATTCAAAACAAAAGTGAAAATTCATGGTTTTAAAATCAGAGTGATAATGCACAAAATAAAAACATTTAATTTAAAATTTAAACTTCATAAATTTTCAGAAATAATGAAAATCTACTTGAATTCTTAACCTTCAGGTACTAAGTTATCAGGCTCAAGGAATTTACTGTATATTCTGGTGTATAACAGGCACTTTTAATAATTAAAAAAAAGGTCAAAATTTATGGGTGCACGTTGTACACCGAATATTAAAACTATAGATTTAAAAATATGGAAAAGATGTGCATACAAAAATTAAATTTCTACATGTACCTAAATGCTGTTTATTTAAAAGAAATGAACCTTGTGAACTAAAAATTTTCATTATCAGATAACATGAAAAGTTCATCATATTTGTGTTTCGTTCTATTTTCAGGCATATTATCGAATTCTATATCATCTTCACTGTCTCACTGTTCTGATACATAGATTATCTAGATTGTCCGCTCAATCTAGATTGTTAGATATACTACATTTTTAAAAGGCTTTTAAATTATGTCAGTTTGAATTTCATTCTATGCTTAATTATCCATTCACACACTTTTCCTAGGCTGGTGTGACGCATTTGGCAAAAGGGTGTGCATTATATGCCAAATATATTTAAAAATTTAAAAATGTAGTTTGAAAATTTAGATGCATATTATATGCCAAAATATATGGTATTTTCAATAAGGTACCTAGGCTAAAGCCTTAACCCAGTCTAACTGTGTATGTTGGTAGCAAAAGAGAAACTCAAAAGTAGCAAGCTCACATATTAGGAAAATTCTAAAGTAATAACAGGCTAAATTGAAGATCGGGAACAATTTTAATACCCCATGTCTATATAGGTCTTTTAATAACAAACTTGCTACAAAATGATAATATAAATTAAAACATATAAATGCTTAAATAAGCAAATCTAATTCATTTAAATAAGGAAAAACATATACTGACAAACTGCATATGGAAAATATGGAATTTGAACACTTACATATTAGGAAATATGTGCAATTTTTATACATAACAAAATGCCTGACTAATTGTTTTAACTATGTGTAATTAAATCTTTTTCTTCAAATACTGTATGCAAGATAAGATTATCTTGCTTTATTTGTGATTTAATTTTATAACTACATCACTCTGGGATTTTCAAGTCATGAAAATGAAAGCTGTTTGCTTTTTCAAGATTAGAGTATTGAAGAATCAGGAGTGTGCAAATCTCGGACACTATTTAGTACAAAGTCCGTAATCCGGACTCGTCGGGATTTCCGCGATTCCAGATCATAGATCATCAATTTAAATCTGGTAAGATGGCATGTAGAAATTATACAATTAAAAATATGAAACCATAATTTATGAATTAAAAAGCAATTATGATCTAAAGGGTATCAAAATTTACAAAAAAAAAAAAAAAAAAAAAAAGCTTAATATTTATTTGTTTACTTTATTAAACATTTCTTTCAATGTAAGTTGTTTAAGTTGCTTCGTTTTTTGTGCTAATACTTTCTCTTTAATTTTATAAACAGAAATAATTTCTTCTTCAAAGTTCCACTGTTCAAGTCCTGTAATTGCTGTGTCGAGAATACCGACTAACTTGTCAATCGAAATTTTTTTCGTTTTCAATAACCTCTCTGTCACTTTTTTCACTATCGGAAGCGATGCATGCGCACATGAGTATCGGAAGCGTGCATTAAACACGCATGCGTAAACGCATTACGTGCTTGCGTAAAGCATACAAAAAAAAGTTTGTGGCTTTGAGGTCTGGATTACGGACTTTGTACTGTATTACATGACACACTTTAATGCATACCGTCAAAGTGTAACATCTTTAATGCAAATAAACTATAAGAACATTTTAAGAGAAATGGAACACATTTACAACTGATGTATGATTTACTGTTTATAATTACATATATGATGATAATGCAAATTTACTGGTATTGAAAAATGATGCATGGAAATAAGTATCAACATGTGAACGCTGGAATTTAAATCAAATTTATATTTAAAGTGATGTAAAATACAATAAACATGTTTTTGTTTCATACGTTATGACTAACCTAAAATTTCTGAAAATATTTTAATTTTGTGTATCTTATTTTAGATGAAAAGAAAAAGGGCTTAGTTATTGCCATAGATCTTCAGCATATAGATCCACTGAAGGGAGCAATCATATTAAAAAACTCTGACTTCACTGATCTTGCAGTTCAAGAAGAAATATGTAAACTTTTACCAACTGGCAAAGCAGATGTTATCCTAAGTGATATGGCTCCAAAAGCAACAGGTACACGTGAACTAGATTCTATAGCGATAATGAACCTGGTTTACAGTGCTTTGAAATTTTCTGTGAAAACACTGAAGAACGATGGGACATTCTTGTGCAAGGTATGGGAGAATAAAGATGTTGATAGTTTTTTTAAGTATTTGCAAAATTTGTTTACTTCAGTAAAACGTATAAAGCCTGATGCCAGCCGTTCAGATTCAGCAGAGATGTTTTTATTAGCAAAAGGATATAAATGTATAAAATATGATAATAAACCTGAAGGAATGTAAACATTTGTGTGTGTCTAATAAAGTATCTTTAATATAATGAGTGTCCCATAAATCCATAAATATATTAAAAATTCATGCAAATTGAAGAAACTGGTAAAAATGAATGTGATTTGTGAAAAAAATATTCTTGTGAATGGAGAAATTTTTTTTTTGGTGGGGGGGGTTACTGCACAGACACAGTAACAAGAAATATATACAAATCAGAATCCTATAAATTGTAGGGTTTTACAATTAACAGCTTATTTCTGATTATTCCATCTTCTTGCTTGAATATAAAATTTGAATTGTGATGTTGACATTGGCAGATAAAGCCTTATTGGTGAAGTTGTTTTACCTTGGCCAAGAATCATTGACTGAAGGTTTTGGACACAGAAGAAAAGGAAGAAAACTTCCAGAGGTCCATGCTTCTGATGTTACTTGGTAACTGAAACACAGTTAGAGTAACACTCTAAGAGAACAATAAATGAGTGCAGTAAGTAGCATGAAACGCTGGTATACTGAAGACATCGGTATTCCGTAATCCTTAATGCCATTTTAAAATTGTATCGCTACAAGTTGCAATTAGTGCACCAGCTCTTATCAGATGACAAATTCAAGTAATATGATTTAGCAAATTGGGCTTTGCCGAAAATCAACAATGGCCTCTCAATTTCTTGTGAATGGATGAGGCTGATTTTTCACTTCAACATCATAACTGTAGAATCTGAGCAAAGGAGAACCCACATGCCTATACTAAGGAGCCTCTACATTCACCGCATTTAACTGTTTGGTGTGGTTTCACTGTATTGTGGGCTTTTTCCTCTCGAAGAGTGCTGTGCAGAAGCTGACTGGAAGACTTGCTCAGTTACTGGAAAATTCTACTTGCAACTGCTGCAGGTTATACCGTGATAATGGAACATAATGTCCTTGACAGCGTTCATGCAAGACTGGGCACCTCCTCATGTCACAACCGAAATGAAGATGTTCCTAAGAACCTTCACTGAAGAGCGATCAATTAGCCATGACTGCAGAAATGAGTGGCCCCTCACCTTGCCAAACTTGACGGACTTGATTTTTGTCTTTGGGGTTATGTCAAGTCCAGAGGGTACCACAATAGTCCATCTTTTGTGCTGCAGTTAAAGGACACCATTCATCACAAAATCTCCAGCATCCGTTTGGATATGCTACATGCTGCAGTTAAAAACGTTGCAACTCGCTTGCAAACTGTAAATTGTGGTGATGGTGGACACATAGAATAAGCCTGATATGCTTACAAAATATTTGCCTGCATGCAAATAAATGTAGTTTGTCATAAAATGTGCGATTTACTTCCATACAGTGCCCTCTATTGACAAAAATTGTAATTTTTTTAATACTATTTACACACACACACACACACACACACACAAAAAAAAAAAAAAAAAAAAAAAAAAACTTTATGGGGCTAACTTTTTTGTAAAACCCTAATACCGTTCAATTATACCATTTCCTTCACTTTGTACGAATTTTTAAAATATTCAGAGACTTACAGGACACTAGGTATATGAATAAATAAATATTATGTAAAACAGTGTAATAATTTTTTCTTTAAAGACAGATTAATCCACTTGCATTCAGTATCAAAATATGCACCATGTAAATGCATTATATGCAAGTAATAAAATTATAGTTTTATTTGAATAATAAAGACAATTTTATGAAGAATGAAACTTGATAAATAGTATGACAAAAAGAAAGCTAAATGTCATCTCTTCTTAAAGCCATATTTTTTTCTTTCATAGAATAAGTCTGTTTTTGAACTTCCAAGGTTCACAATTTTGGGGCATCCATCACGCTGCAAAGAGGGGAAAAAAAAAAAAAAAATCAGTAACACAAAATTTAATACATATTTTCAGCACACAAATATATGAAGATTGCTCTAAACATATCCCTACAGATCCAAAGACATTTTTCAGCTTATTAAAGAATTACTGCTTTATAGATTTACATACTTTATACTGCAAGTGTTAAAAAATTTGATACTGCATAATACTGTGAAATATTTATGCATAAAATTATTCACTTTTGAATAAAGTGTTTAAACAAAAAAATTTTAGTTTGGCAGAGATTTCGAATAAAACTATTAATTTTGAGTATGATCAATCATTACATTGGAATGTTTTTCTTCCATTGGATTCACAAATTTGCTGTATTGAGTAACCTAAATAGGTTAATCAGCAAATAAATTGATACATATTTATTATTTCATATTAATCTAGAAAGCATAGATATACTTAGATGTGATTAATTTAGATCCAACACCATAATAAACATGTTTCTATCATTTTGTCATGTATAGATCACATGTAAAAACTGAACATAATATAATTCTGTGTATATTTCATAAAGCACACACATTTCAAGTGGCCATTCATTTTTGGGCCTTATATTTATGGAAATTTTTACTCATTACAGACAATAAAAACTAATAATTATGTATGACAAAAATTGATCGAGATACTGAATCTTAAAATTTGTGATATTTAATGTCATTCTGAATTCGCATTGAAGGGTTGGTTAATAAATAAATTGCAGTAATTTGAGATTGATTTTTTTTTTTACTTTAAATGTCCTTCAAATGATATTTTATGACTTATTAATGTCTATATAATCTTACTTCATGAAGCTTTATTACTTTAGAATCATAATCTGTTAACAGTTTAAAAAAGATTGAAGTATAAATGTTTTTTATTTGAAATAAATGCAAATATTAGTTGGCTATGGGCTAATATTGAAACCTGACAGTGTTATCTAGAACATAAATTCCTAAAAGATTCTGCGAATAACACCTTCCATTTTGAAAAAAGATTACGCTGATCAATATTTTCCACAATAATCTGCATAAAAATGCTCATCATATTATCTCTTAACATCAGAAACCTTTTTCTAAATAATATTTTTTTAGTTGCATACAAATATTTCACTCCTCAATTTGAATATATCCCTTGAATACAATTCCCTATTTCAATATCAAATATCTTGGTTAATTTTTGTCGTCCTTGTTAATTTTTTGCGCTTAAAATATTTTGTGTTTTAATTTTATAACAGAATTTTCCTAACTATAAATATAGAGAGTGAAAGAATTTACAAAAAGTTCAATTTCATATCTTATAATATTAAAGTAATATTTTAATTTAAAAATACAAAAACATTTTCATAACTTTCATAAGTATATGTCTGACCAACAGTTGCGAAAATAAAGGCTGGGTATGGACTTTAAGCGTACACAGTGTAGAGATAGTATTCCTTTATATAGGCATGTTTTCTAACCGATGATATTTCTATATATATATACATATAATGAAATACATCTCAAAGTCTCGGGTTCAAATCCCAGCCGAGCCCCCATGTAAACTCGGCGTCTGGGGGATTTCTATGCTGACGACACACATTTAGGTGACTAAGTATTTATTTAGTTATTGATGGAGATACAGTGATGAGTATTTACAAATGAAAAAAAGGAGTTATAATTGAGAAGTTAACAGGTTCGCCATCTATTAATATGTCTTAGTCGAAAACATGACTGTTCTTCTCTTTCGCTTCCATCCTTCGTCTCACTGCAATGTTGTTAGTTGTGTTGAGTTGTCGCACTCCTGCTACTCACATACATATAATGAAATACATCTCAAATTAATTTAATCCTTTCAAGGCAGTGCACCTTTGTTTAGGACGTTCCCTCTAGATAGTTGGAAGTTGAAAGGAATCGTCCCACAGGATGGGGTTTGAAAGGCACATGTTGGTTTTGATAGTTGGAAGTTGAAAGGAATCGTCCCACAGGATGGGGGTTTTGTGTCACTAAGACTAACTTTTAACATGTATGTTAAAATTAGCATTTAATAATCTTTTTCCTTTACATGAAACTATAAAAGAAAAATTGCTTACTTTGAGAAATAATTTCCGGAAGCATTATTCAAATTATTCCGAAGAAAGACTATTTACAAGAAGTAGCATAATCTTGCACAGGAAGTGGAAGGCAGGCACTCCATGAGCTCCTGACAAAATGTCCATATCAGAAGCACCGAAATATTGCTCTCTTTAAGACTCATTCTTGTCATTAACTGATTCATTTACCATACTAACACTTTACCGACAGCTAGCGGTTCAACAGCATACGCATGTCTGCTGCAGATTCTTCCTAACAATAAAATGCAGATGATATAGCAAAGGGCAATTGTTTCTCACCATGGCTATCGATTGATAGGCTATTTTTAGGCAACCCCGAAAAAGAAAAGCGATTAACAGGATTGGATTGGATTGGATTATTCAGCTATGGCAAAGCACACGAGGACTATCTGCTTAAAGGAAGGGATGCCTTTGTGGAGGACTTTCTAAGGGAAAATGGCTCGTATATACATAACAAAGTATGCAAAATGTAAGCAATAAAAAGCAACGCAAATCATAACAGAACCCTAGTAACATAAAAGGAATAGTAAACCTAAAAGACACTACATAGTAGTCAAAAAAGGATTCGAAGGGATATCAGAAATCTTTATCTTTATATCATGTGATGAATTAAAAGAGACGAGCTATGTTTTTTTACATTAGCTTCCTCTCCTCCGCCGCAACAGCTGACACCAAAGTTAGGCAGAATGAGATCAAACTGAAGGTCTGGATCTTAAACATATGTTCAGTTCAAAAGTAATGGACACAGAATACCATCTAGTGGTCTTTAAAAAACGGTTCAGCTTAAAATGCATATATATATATATCACCTATTACGTGAGCAAAATCTCCAGTGGGACGTCCGCTTGTGAGAGACATTCATAGCAAATGCACATATAGGACACCCGCCCGGAAAGGGTTAATGAGTATAAGGAAAAGATAAAACAAATGTAATAAATAGCATCAGACATTAATATTAAGAAAATTTTTTAAAAAATGTTTTTTTAAATATATGATTATTTCCGCTTTCATATTCTGCATTGGTTCTTTTCATTATCCGCACTTACCTGAGACGTATTCAATGCAATGTGTTGCCTATATAGGCACCCGATGATGTTGGTAAAATGTATTTATGGAGTGTAATTGTATGGTAAAATGTATTTATATGGTATTTATGTGTGTGCATGCAACAGGTGAGAGCTGATTTCCACATTCAAGTTCAATGGTCATTTTCTTGATTAGTGTTAATTTTTGTTAAATTCAATTACAAATAGTTACGTGCATACAGGATTGTAAAAGATAGAATGCACAAAGCTACAATTATAGGTTGATACAATTAATTTTATTAAAAGCAATTCTTCAGAGTTCAACTTCAGAGTTCTGGAACCACAGAAATACTCATACAGATGTTCATAATATCACAATCAGTAGTTATACTTCAAACTACTAAAAACATTAAACACAGCGTAATGCAAAGCACAACCAAAAGATGAAGTTTTCACAGATATCTCAATACTCCGAAGTCATTCTGAATTAGCAACTCACAATATCCTATCCATCTGGCCTTCGGGATTCTTGAAGTTTAAAAGCCAGGTCAACAATGCACGATCTGTGTATAACAACAAATTTCTGTTGCAAAGGTAATGATGGAAATAATATATGGCTTTAATTATGGTGAGAACAGTAATTTCTCTCCACTTTAGTTAGATACTTGTATGCCATGACACATTCTTGACCATTTATTTCTTGTGACAAAACAGTACAGACACTCACACTGGAGCAGATGGTAAAGCCTCCTTCAGTTTGTTAAATGCATCCTTACATTTCTTTATTAACAAGCTCTTTCAGCTCCTGAAGGGGGTCTTACAACAGAAGAAAAGTCCTTCACAAATCACCTATAGTAAGTGCAAAGCCCCAGGAAACTTCTTAGCTGATGGAAATTTTTGAAGCATCTCCAATATTTAACTGCTGACACTTTTTCTGGATCTATAGGCACAACTTCGACAGAGATGACATTTCCAAGGTAAGTCATTCCTGCTTGAATAGTTTACATTTAGCAGGACTCAACTTTAGATTGGCTTCTTTTGGTTCCTGAAGCACCTTTCTAAAATTTTCGTGACATTCTTCAAAACTCTTCACAACGATAATGATGTGATGAAGTATATCAGACAGGCTACGTAGGAATGACCTCTCAGCACGGTCTTCATGAGGCATCCGAATGTTGTTGGCGCATTATATAATCCAAATGGCATCACCTTGAACTGCCGAATTCCTTGTCCGATAGTAAAAGCAGTCTTTTCTCAGTCAACAGGGTATATCTCTACCTACCAATATCTACTCTTTAAAGCAAGCTTCAAAAACTACTTGTTCCAGAAAGTGTGTCCAGAATGTCATCAATTCTAAGACGAGGATAGTCATCTTTCTTCATCAAAAAATCTAACTGAATCATCTTTCTTTTTAGCAAAGATCATGGGAGAGGCCCATAGACTTGCTGAAGGCACTGATTTGTCTCGTTAAATCATCTAAACGATCAGTCAGTCTCCCGGACTTGAGTGGCTCTGATAAGGTGGCGGTCTCTGTGAGTTGCTTCCTGGACTGCCTCGAATTTCATGGTGTACACTAGACTGCTTTTCAAATCCTTGACGTCTGCCATTCACAGGGCTTTCTGTATCTTAGGATCCCAGATTCCATTGATGAAGTAATGTAGGGACAGGATTTCCCTTGTTTTTGATGGGCAGTCTAAAAATACAAGATGAGACAGCCTTTCAACATCTGTGCTGAGCTACTGTAGTGTTTCCTTGAGCTTCTGTAGGTGTGATTTTAACTGAAGCTTGCTATATATAGTCTTTTAAACATTTCTCGCTAAAGCACAGCTCCAACTTGCTGGATAGAGCTTCAAAGTCTCTAGTTTTGGGGCAGTTTAAAGAAAATTTGCTGTGTCTGCTCTTAAAGAAGCAGCAAGATGGCAAGTCTTAGCTTGAGAATTTGATCTGTTCGCATCCGCCACTACAGAAAACTGTGTTTTATACACTTGCCAGGAGGTCTTACGATCATATGTAAGTAGCTTTAGAGAGAGTCGAGAAGGCATGAGTAAAAATTTGAAACCATAAGAATTGCTTCCTGCCATCGCTATGAATTTAAGATATCAACTTCTTTGCAACCGCAGAAATCCTCTCATTAATTTGTTGTTGAATGGCAGAAACTTTTTCTAAAATGTCTCAACTTTGTCTTATTCTGCCTTCCATAGCCTCAAATTTGTTTTCTATACTGTGGATAATGTCTCTTTTCATTTCCCCTTGACAAGGTTCCATCTTTTGTTGAACATCTCTAACAGAATTTTGGTCAGCTTTCATTTCTTTGAATGCACCAAAGGCTGCCACCAGTTGCCTTAACTGCTCCTTATCCCCTTGTTACTGACTTTCAAGCACACTCCTGACACCAAAAATTCTTGAGTAGGTAAAGATTCGTAATAGATTAAATGCATACAGGCCCAATGATAGCTTGATAAAATGTATTTCATAAAAAGATTTGATAAAATGCATTTTATCAAAAGTAACACTTTAGAGTTTGGGAATTTTTCCCTAGAAGTACTTGTAGAACTGTTCCATACTATCACAGAGTACAATCAGTAGTTCCACTGTAGAGACATTAGGATTTTTTTATTTTTTATTTTTTTATGCTGAGATGAAAAATGAGCAATGCTCTTGCCAGGACTTGAACCACAGACCTCTCGAATGCACGCCGAGTGTGCTGATCACTACACCACGAAAGCATGCATATAAGGCAGGAGAAATACCTTATATATTTCCCCTTTTAAAGAGTGACTGGGGATTAGGGGACCCAATTGTTAAATCCGGATGGTGAAGAATCATCATCCACCACTTTTTTGTTTGTTCGAGCACTACTGTAGAGAAATTAGGTAATTTGAAAGCAAGAGAGGTGAAAAATGAGCAATGCTCTTGCCAGGATCGAACCAAGGACCTCTTGAATGCACGCTGTGTTCTGACCACTACACCACGAAGACTAGAGAAATACCTTATAACACTTCCAGCTGCTAAGAATGTTAAACACGCTATGCAGAGTACATTCAAAAGACGAAGCTTTCACAGATATTTTAATACTTCAAAGTCGCTCTATATTAACAACTCACAACAACTGACAGTGGATGTTCTCTAGTGTTGTAAAGTTTTCACCTGGCTGGCAAAATATTTCCAGTACTTTCTGCATCTCGAAATCATTGGAAGGCATATGAGGTCCGAATATGGTTACAGAGCGTCTAAAATCAATTACAGGCTACTCAGTTACAATACCTTTCAAAGTGATATAGGGATCAGACCAAAATGTCACCAAATTGGGTGACTTTGGGCAATTTCTCCTCAAATCTGCCGACAAAAATCAGTCATAAAAACTCTTGCCAAATTAGCAAGATAACCATTTATTCAATGTTAAATAGACTTGCCCCCCCTTTTTTCCCCCGTAGAGCATCCTCTTACTACATTTTCATGTTACACTATACAGAAAAATTCATAACAGTATTTCCTTGCATTTCTTAAAAAATATGGTGTTTTGTTCAAGAATAGAGAATGTAAAATTTAATATTCCTTGAAGCTGTACTTAATGATCGAATTTAATGAATCAAATTCATGAGGGATGCCAAATTTGAGCAATTCTCTGATTTCTTTTATGCAAAAGCAGATTGCTGTATACAGTGGGAGAATGACAGTGAACACAGTGCCAAGTTGTGAGTGATTAATGTTTAGTTTGCACAATTGATATTTTATTATGGATATTTCTGGTGTTTTTAATTTTGCTAAACTTTTTGCTGTCTTACATAATTCTTAGTGCGCCAACATTTCTGAAACTAGCTATTGACTTTTACATCGAAAAATTAGTTGCTAATGGCTGTTGACTTTTGGGGAGAAGAGATGCAGATAATCAGAAGTACCAGTGAAAGTACTGAAAGCGAGGAAATGGTAAAGATTACAGCAAACTTACATCTTTTTCTTGAATAGTACATTCTTTGCAATAGTAAGCATCTGAAACGCCTGGTCCACCACAAATCACACAGCGACCTTGATAGGATCCATAATTGCATTCATCACATATCCGTACCAAAGTACATGGTCTAACATATGAATCACAAATAACACATTTTCCATCACCTAAGAAAATACATATATTTTATCATAACTAGCAAATGACAAAAAAGCAAATAAAATTCATAATTTAGAAACTATTATCTAGTAATTTAGAGAAAAATTCAGAAATGTTTTAAAATACATCGAATGAACTAAACATTAGATGCATTTCCCCAAGAATATGTCATCCCTCCTCTAATCATGAATGATAATTTCAAGATGTTAAAAAAATTTAGAGCCATGACTGTTACAAAATTATTCACATCTCCATCTTTAACACTATCCTTAATGGCATTTTGTTTGTTAACGAGTCTTATGTTTTGTTTAACAGCAGTTCATAAATGTCAATGAGCTTAAATCCAGTACTAATAGAAGATCTGCAGTTTATCTATAATTTCTCAAGTTATATCGAATAGTATTAACAGATTAGACCAGAAAATAGTTCTGCTGAAATAAAACCATCATTTCAAAATACATGAAGATCACAGAAGGGTGTTAGACCAGAAGTCCCCAACCTTTTTGGCCCTAAGATCAAATTCTAGGATATCTGTTGGATAGTGGGCATCATTTACTTTTTCAAAGTAAATTTATAGTTGGATAGTTAATAATACTATTCCAAAATGTCCAGGTGCGGTAAGATAGCTTCCTCGCAAAGCAGTTTTAGGGTTGCCATAAAATGGCAAGTGAAAGCAGGGTTGCCACATTTGGCGAGAAATAGTCCATTTGGCGACAAAATTGGTGATATCCCATGCACGGATGGAGAACCTTCTGGAATGAATTCTTACCGGTGTAGTGCAGAATGTTCTCGAACTCAAGCCGAAAGCTACATAAAACCTGCTGGTCTGCAGTCAGTTAGTGTGTCTCAGAGAGTGTGCCTCGTTTAGCGAGCAGTGCGGAGTCGATCGAGTTGACAGCCAGCAACGAGTGCCGAGTGGGTTGTTGAGTGCATCGAAGGAGTCTGTTAGTGTATTGCGGTTAGTCCATCGTCGAGAGAGCATGTTGAGCTCCGGGAACGATTCAACCGAAGAGTCGGAAGCTGTGCTCTGTGCGTCGTCGAGTGCATCGTGAGTTGTAGCGTAGAGAGTCTCGAGTACGTGGAGTTCCGAGAACGACCAAGCAGAGTCGGGTGCTTTGCAGGAAGCTCCACCGTTATTGCCTGACAGTGCTGTGCCGCTGATTGTTCCAGCGTGTTTATAGTAGATCTTTGACGACTGTAAAAAGTGTTATTGGAGCTGTCCTGATTAATATTGGCTAATTAAAGTGTGTTTCTATAGTTCATCAAGTGTCATTGTTACTCACTCCAAATCTACAAACCCTGTACAAACGTGAAGGAAGAGAATAACGTAGCAACTGGTGTCAGAAGAAAAAGAAAAACGTAACAATACACACACATATTTTTTTTAAAAAAAGAGATTGGCCGTACTTCGCTTTGTGCTGGTATTTGTGTTGGACAGAATTTCTATTTCATTAAAAATTAGAAAACTAAAACATTTTTCTCGTGATCACACAGCGGCGGGCACACGTTAAATGAATGGCGGGCGCCATGGTGCTTGCGGCCATAGCGTTGGGAACCCCTGCATTAGACTGTCAGCTAACATTAGATATCTGGTGTTATAGATCACTTAAAAATTTTATATTCAATTTCGTAGACAATAGTTATTACGTATTTCACAAAAAATATGCTGACACCAAAAATATTAGAACAAGAATATAAAAAATTAGATATGACAAACTTGCACACTAATTAATTAAGACACAATAACACACCGAATAAATACTAATTCAGAAGTCGAACAACAAAAATCAACGTTATATTTTCAAAATTTTCATAGGACTAGTTTCGATGGTTTTACCAAACCACCCTCTTCAGCTGCAAAACTGCAAATGAACAAGATAGGAAATAATGATTAGGTAAGATAAGAAAGCTGAACAAGAATAAGCAAGTGGCACCATCTGTTGGTGAAACCAGAACTAAAACATAATTTCTTTAAGGGCCGAAGGCAAATTTGGATTGGAATTAGGATCGTTAACTAGAACAGAAAGATTTTTTTGAATGTGAAATGCCTCTAGAAAATCCAGTTCTCCAATGGAAGATGTTTTTTGAATAATTTTGGCAGCAGAAATATTGAAAGTGTGATTTTCGGACCAACAATGTTGAGCAACAGATGACTTCTGTGTTTCCGTTTTTCTAACATATGCCTCATGTTCCTTGACGCGAAATTTTAAGGCTCTCTTAGTTTGGCCAATGTAAATTAAACCACACTGGTAAGGAATCCTATAAATACCCCAGGAATTCATATCCGGAATGGGGTCCTTGAGTATGGAACTCGGAATTTTATTGATGGGAGAATAAACAACCCGAAAGTTAAATTTCTGCAAAATATGTGCAACTTTATAGCTAATTGATGGAAAGTAGGGAATGACAACAGAATTTTTATAATCTCCTAAAACAAGAGTGTGCCTTTGGTGTGTTGTCAAAATTTTCACAGGACTAGTTTCGATGGTTTTACCGAACCACCATCTTCAGCTGCAAAACCGCAAATGAACAAGATAGGAAATAATGATTAGATAAGATAAGAAACATCTTTCTGTTCTAGTTAACGATCCTAATTCCAATCCATCTTTGCCTTCGGTCTTTAAAGAAATAATGTTTTAGTTCTGGTTTCATCAACAGATGGCACCACTTGCTTATTCTTGTCCAGGCTTTCTTATCTAATCATTATTTCCTATCTTGTTCATTTACGGTTTTGCAGCTGAGGATGGTGGTTTGGTAAAACCATCGAAACTAGTCCTGTGAAAATTTTGAAAATATAACGCTGATTTTTGTTGTTTGACTTCTGAATTTGCACACCAGGGTTCGTACGCATTTCTGCACACGGAAATGAAGTACTTTTAAGAACTTTTAAGGACCATTAATCATGGGTGTTTGTGCTCCGGTGAAACCCCCGGAATTCCAGGGATTTTGAACTTCGAACCCCTGGAAATTCCGGGGATCGTCGTTCAAAAGGAAGTAGGAATAATAATGAATTATTTATTTTGATCCAGGTAATTTTGTTTGCTTTGAAAGCAGAAAACGTAAGGTCAGTGTGTGTGGTGAAAACTTTTCCTTTCTTTCTCCAAAGGCAGTGATAATGCATGAAAAGGGGGGGGGAACTTCTTTCTTGTTCTTTCCTTATTGCGAGTTGTGACTCATTCCCCCGGTTTTCGGACATTCTCTTCTGGATTCTTTTCGGCAAGTAGGCGCGGCAGGAAAAAAAGGGAGAGACTTTTGGCAAGTAGGCGCGGCAGAAAAAAAAGGAGGTGCGACCAGATGTGCGATCACGTGACTCTGAGTTCAAAGGTCTTATCTCTCCTGTCGTAGCGCCAATAAGTAGAGAAGGGGGATTTTTCGCCGTATTAGCTATTTGTCATTGATCGCTTCTCAACTTTTTTTTCTCCGCTGTGTAACATTTTCGTTTCATTTATTGATGCACGTGTAAATTTTTCATTTCGTTTATTGAAATATTTTTTTATTTATGTATGCAAGAGAAATTTCACTATGAAATTTCTCGATATAAATAGTGATATTATACAATTAGAAGAAGGTGTCCGGAATGCATTTAGGTGGAATTGGATCGAACGGAGATGGTAATGGGGATACCATCGGCACATGGTGCAAGAAAAAAAATGTTGCTGGACAAGCATATTGTATTTTTTGTAACTCTCTGCTGAAGTATGGTGGGGAAGGATTCAAGGCTTTCCCAAATCATTCTAAAACTGTGACGCACATAAAATATTCAAAGTGCATTAGACATTCAATGACTTTAAGTAATTATGCTAATTAAAAAAATAGTGATGACTTACTGGAGACTGATGCTCGGCCATTGGATATAGTGACAAGAAAAGCACGCCAAGAGGTATTAATAACTTCTTTTATCGCCGAGAATTCTCTTTCTTTCAATGTAGCTCCCAATTTAATTTATGTAACTATGTAAGCATATATTATGAACTATGTAACTATGTAAGCATGTATACAGGACCAATGTATGCCCTTATAGGCCCCATGAGGTGTTGCCCCGGATAGTTGCGGAACCTGGACTAGACCCGAATAGTCTTATTAAGCCGCATGGGTGTCCAGATTCTGCTCTCAACTCAACTCAACTCCCAATTTAATTGAACTCTGCAAACAGTTGAGCCGCGATCAGACGGCATTAAACTCGTTGGAAATGTCCAGGACTACTGCATGTTATAAGATGAAATATGGGCTCGCAAAACTATTAAGGAAAGTATCATTAAAACTTTAAAGGAGACTCCATTTTCTCTAAATTTGGATCAAAGTACTAGCAATGCTCAAGAAAGTATACTGGCAATATTGGTGCAGTTTTATGACAACAATCAAAATGAAGTTGTAGTTCATCATTTTGCATCTCTAAAGATGGAATCTTGCAATTCAGAAGCTGTTTTTAAAGCAGTTGTTAATACTATTGAAGATAATAATATTCCATGGGCAAACTTAATTAGTGTACTAATGTACTCATGTAACACCATGCGTGGAAAAAAAAAGGGCGTTGAAACCAGACTACGATCAAACAAAGCACCTCACTTATTAGATATTGATGGTGACACATGTCACACAGCTAATAACTGTGCAAAAAAATTTGCTTCATGTTTTGATAGATACTTAGAAGATCTGTTTGATGACATCTATTTTGATATGAAAAGCTGCAGTAAAAGAGAAAATTTTTTCAAAATCTGTGAATCCCTTGGCGTTAAAAAACTTAAGCCCTTGAAGAGACCAGACTATAGGTGGGTGTACATTTTATGTGTTTTAGAAAGAATCAAAGATCTGTGGGATGCTCTTATTGCATTTTATTTTCACTATTTGGATAAAACTGATAAAGGGGATTATTTTTCTTATGTTGAAACTGTATACAATAAAAGAAATATTTCTGCAGCTCAGAAAAAAATTGTTGAAGGGGTGTATTCTTGCTTGCATTCCCAACAACCCACAAAGCTTTAGCTCGGAAAAAAAGAATACTAAATGG